CGTCCACCCGTAGCCGCCCATGGTGTTCTTCCCTGCCCCGTTCACCGGGCGTAACTCGTCCTTCGGGAAGGCATACTTAATGTAGGAGTTAAAGGCGTGCCCTATCATCTCGCGCACGTAGGGCCGCATTTCGGCCTCAATGGGGTGCAAGGCATCGGTGCTGCGCCACGCACCGCCACCCTCTCCCTCATCCTCGCCCACACCTCCACCGGGCCCCCCACCACGCACGCACACGGCCGTCACCAGCAGCAATGCTACCAACAAACAAATGCATGCCGCGGGCCCAGGGCCCTTTTTACCGCCTCCCCCAGAACACATAAATACGCACTTTGCACACTATCTACGCACCCTCACAAAAAAGAAAGCCAGAAAAGAAGGAGCAGTAGCACACACATTTTGACGAGGCAGTGCGTCGTTTCCGGAAAAAAAAACACCATGCCCCGACACGCGCAACCAGTCACACTACTTATTCGCAACACCACACCAACACAAACACACACCACAAAAGAAAGAAAGCAGAAAAAATTTCCGGGCGGCTGGCCGAATCCTGAGTTTCTCAATCATAGAAAAAAAACAGATAAGAATGAGAAAGGGATCAACGGAATAAGAATGGATCCATCATATCCTCAAAGTTTAACAACAAGTAAGTGTATATATGTGTATGCATCGTCCATTAGCCACAGTTGTGGCCCGCTCACCCTATTCGGATGCGATACATATATATTTATTACTTATTTATTACTTACGAAGTGGCAGACTTTGGGATCCTCCAGACACAAGACCCCGCCGCTCCCCTTCGCCAAGTCCTGAAGTGTAAAAACACGACCGCGTGATATGCCGTCTGCGGGGTTTTCCGCAGACCGCACGTAGGCAAAGGATGCGTGTATTCCGCGAGAGCCAACAAACTCATATATCCGTTGCAGCTCCCACGTCATGGCGTGTGATTTTGAGCTGCCTTTATTCGCCGCTGCTTGCAGCGAAGTGTTGTCCACCCAAACGTCCATGGTGGATGGCAAGATGGCGGAAAAAGGCCGATAAGGCCAAGCGTACCGCGCATGCCTCCGCCTGCATGATAAGAAAAGGCTTCCCCCATTTCCCTCCGGCAATTATAACGTCGCCGGAGTCTGGAATAATAACGGCTCCCCATCCACAAAACAATGCATTTGTGATGATGGCAGCCCACTGCCTTTTCCGTGGGCTCGATGATTCGCTTACGATTATATTCTCGATGCTGTGTCGTAATCTCTCGCCCAAACCAACCGCTGACAGCTGAAAGTTCGCCGGGGATGTCTCCAGCACAATCCCCCGGTTAAGTGCCGATAACCGTCGTCGCACTGCCTTGATGAAAAAGTAGCAGTCAAATAAACGCCTAAACAAAAATGGCAGACGCGTACAAAAAGCGTGACGCCACAACCTCCATTTCCGCGATGGTTAAATACTTCAGCGACGGCATGGCGCATAAACACCGGACAAACTTGTCACTCAGGGACACCGCCCGGCGTGAGTATGATTAAACCGCACCCACAGAAAGATGTACTGCGTGGCGCCCGATTCGCGTTCCTCCATCGTAGCGTGACGGCCATCCGCATTACAAAGCACCTGGGCTTCCCACAATGTCACATCGCTTATCGACCCCTGCAATGCGTATATCATCAATCCATACGTCGATACGAACCAATGGAGGTGCAGCCCAGAGAGAGTGAACCACCGTCGTCACCCCGCAATTGCCGAAGTAATAATAACCTGGAGAATTTCTGGGCCGGCCTTGTGTCCCATTGGGAGCCGTGTGGGCTCCACCAGCGTGCCGTCCTTCACGCGGCATCGAAAGAGATGCCGAGCCCCCGCAGCAACAAAGAATTGAAAAAAGGATGCCTTTAATTCCACGCAGAAAGCGGCCTCAGCCATCACAGGTGACAATTAATGGGAAATGTGTAAAAGAGGAACATTCGCCTCGTAAGGGTCGTCTCTCTTCTCGTCGCGTGGCCACGCGATCCATCGTCGTCGCAAACCGGTGATTTCTCCTCCACAACCGAGAAAGGCATTATCCATCCGCCGCTTGTTATTGTGAACGATGCGTCCACTATTATTCCCGCTTCCTTCATTAATCGCGCGTCAGCGACTGGAACCCTCCGTGAGCCTTCGCGCGCTACCGGAGGAGGATAAAGGTAAAGGGGACCGCCCGACGCGCCCACATACTTGCATGAGTCTCTCCAAGGTAGCCGGTTGAACCCGCTTTGGATCCACTCCAGATTCAATACGGGCACATTAACTGGTTGCTGTAGCGGGATGACTCGTTCCTCTTGTGGAATGGCCAGACGCTTCCTTGTCGCGCGTCTCGTAATGGCAGCGGCACAATACTAAAAATCATGGAAAAACGCTCCTCTGCTCTCAGCCAGGGCTCCTACCCTTCCGCAGTTTCTCCCTCCACATCAATGCGATCAGCGCCGACACCTGGGTCAGCATTGTGGTGTACCTCCCCAAATATCGAACTGTGCTCTGGGGAAGGTCGAACGGGTCGACGTGCACCGCCAACGGCGAGATCACGTGTGGGTCAAAATCGTGTGTCTCCACGATTGGAGCAGCGTGCCTCAACGCACCGCGTTCTATGGAATGCGCCGTGGCATTCCAAGGAGCCAGAGCTCATTCGACTTTGGCAGTCGTAATATTCGTGAGCTTTTCGTTTTCTTGAAGTGTCCTGCATAACTTTATAATGTCGAACACGTCCTGCCCTCGTATCCTGACGAACCGAAAGGCGCGGTGGGGATCCGCCCTCGCCGTCCTCGGCGCCACGGGCCAATCCAAAATGAAGGTCCCGTCCGGCTCCAGCGTGAAATTTTTGGGAGTTAAGGCCGCAATCTCGGACCAACAGCTCGCCGTTATCCACGCAAGTCGTACGACAGCACGTTGCTTCCAATCGGTCCGGCTGCGGATATATTGATCCATCCCTTCCTTTGTCAAGGGGCGCGCCTGCTTCGCCTCTTATCACGCCGCAATTTTTTGTAACCCCAGAATCACCATGTCCAGCGGGGTTCGATTCATTTCCAACATGGACCGCAGCATCCTGGCGTACTGCAGTCGGGTCAATGGCGCTACATCGATTGCCATCAAAAAGGCCGCGCAGCTCTCCTCGTTCATCGTG